CTTGGAGCCCCCGCAGCCCCGACGGGACGGGGCAGAGAGACCGACCGGGCCGGGCTGCCCTTCCCGACGGGTACCGGAGGGGAGAAAGAATCGGGGCTGGGGGCTGCGGCCACATCAGACATGAGCTGTCCCGGCCTCACGCGTGGGCGGCTCTCCCGCGGGGGCTGGGGCACTGCGGCTTCCCCCGGGGCCGGCGGTGTCACATCCCAGTGTCGCCGAGTGCCGCCGCCCGACGAACGAGCACGGGCCGGCCCGGAAGGGTCTGACCTCGCAGGTGGCCGTGCCCGGGGATGGGCGAGGGGCAGGGGTTGGACGTGGCTCCCGGAGCCGCGAGCTAACGTTGCGCCTCTCTCCCCCAAGGAAATGCTCCAGGAGAAAAGCCTGTCTGAAACCGAGGAAGGGTTTCCAACAGCCCCCGCGCCCGGCCATGCGGACACCTCCGCCGGCTCCCCCGTCCTCGGCGTAGCCGGGGGGAGCAGCACGCCGCTCAGCAGCCCGCAGCTCCCCGACCCCGAGCAGGTACGCTCCGTCCGGCCCCGCATCCTGCCCTGCTGCGCCCTGACCCCGCCACCAGCCCGGCCCAGCACCGCGCATCTCCCCCGGCCACGACACGGGGAGGGATTGCGAGGAAAGCTCATTTTTCGTCACTTTTCTTTGCTTTTATTTTTTTATGTTATCATTTTATTTTTCCCGTCCGCCGCAGGCCGTCCCGGGCCCACCATCGGTGCGCAGGTCGGTAAAGGGCGAATCCGAGCACCGAAAGCCGCGGCCGGCAGGGCCCGACTCCTCCCGGGGCTGCGGCCCGGCAGAGAATTCACTGGGGTTTTTCCATCCCTAAATAAAACGCGGTTTCTGTGCCTTCGCCCCGCGCACGGCCGCACATCGCCGATGTCCCCGGCATCCCGCAGAACGCACAAAACTCGGCCCGGGACGCGGATCCGTTGTGCCCGCGGCTGCTCCTGGCCCCGGTTTTTAGGAGGCTTAGGGCGAGTCTACCCTAAGAGATTTTTTCCCCCCACTAGGAAAAAGGAAAAAAAAATAAATAAGAAAAAGAAAATTCCATTTAGCTGCAGTGTCCTGCCTGGTTGTGAAAGTCTGCAATTAAAACCGGCCTCCGTTTGTTTCTCTTATTTTTGGCAAAGGGCAGCGGAATTTTTGAGACTCCATCCTCCTCCCGCACAGGCTGGTGGCTTCGCCCGGAGCCTCGGCTGCAACGCGGGCCCTGAGTGTCCCCAACCCCCGCCCTTCCACGGCCCTTCCCAGCCCTTCTCGCAGGTTTTCTCCATCGTTTCTTACTGTTCTTATTATCTTAATTTTTTTACAGACAATAGAAAATATCAAAGTCTATCTCCATGAGAAGGAGCTATGGAAGAAATTTCATGAAGCTGGCACAGAAATGATAATAACCAAAGCAGGCAGGTTAGTGAAAATTCCCTGCAAACATGTATTGCTTCTGATCTCTATGAAATGTCCTGTTTGCTAACACTGGGTTTTGCAGAGCTGCCAGTTAGTGGCATTTAAAAGTATTATTGTGATTGCAAATTTCAGTAAGATCATTTTCTTAGTGTACACTGTACATGTGTTTGAGTGTGGCAGTTGGAATGTAGATGTAAGAAAATGTTGTGGAGTTGTTTGGAACATTTAGTCCCGATTCTCACTGGTAATGATTTTTTTTTTTTTAATTAGGAAATCAGCATAACTGTGGTTTTATTTTTTTTCCCCACAAAGCAAACCCTCTTCCCTTTTCTGTGCCGTGCACTAAGACCTGCGCTGAGATACTCTGCACCAAAGTTTTAGCTGTACGAAGGTTCTTTTAATCTCAAAACTGAAAGAGAAACGGGGGGAAAAAAAAATAAATCTGTTTTCCCTTGGAAACAAATAATTCTTTTTATCAAATCACAGCCCCCTCACAGCCAGAGAGGGAGACCAGAGCCTCACAGAGGCTTCACTTGCCCAGAGAACTCAGCCCTGCATCTGCTCAGGGCTCCTGTCCTGCCCGGGCTGCTCTGGTGGAAGATGGCAGAATTAATGTCAGAAAAGTAAGAATCAGAATTAAACCTCAAACCATCACCGGCTCGGGAATCAGATAATTCCCAAGAAAATTAGGGTGTCACTGTGGGCACCGGAGTATCTGCCCTTGGCTTCTGCGGCAGCGAGCTCGCCTCGCTGCTGCTGGGAAAGAAAAACTGAGCCATTAACATTTAATTCCAGCACAGCTGAGTGGTTGTACCGTGCCCTGTGGTTGCTTGTTTTACACCGTGCTAGCGAGCTGTGCAGCCAGACACTCAAAGAACGGGCAGAAAACAGAGAAAAAAACCCACAAATAATTCTCATGCAGTTTTTATTTCTCTGTAGTCTCTGACCCTTCGTTCAGAGCAACCGGGGCTGCTCATGAAGTGTGTGTGTGACTTTTCTCCCGTTTGCTGCTCACGCTGTGAGACCCAGCAGCCAACCCTCGGCACTGGATTTTTGGGATTGATGAGCGCTTTTCCTCTGCTTTCCCTCCGTGTTCTGTCTGGGCAGTGCTGCAGCAGCTGCTCGGTGTAGGGAAGTTGGACTCTAATAAGCGAGATATTCCCATTATTCCCCCTGGAGATGGGGTGTATGTCCCGGGAATCTTCCATTTATTTGCCGTGTGTCTGTTTTATGGAGTGATGGTGCAGGTAACTCTGTCCCTTTCACACCTTATTTTGGTGTATGAAATCTCAGGGCTCGTTCTGTGATGGGAAGAGCTGGGTTCATTTGGATGGGTCTGCTCCCTAAGTCAGCTCAGATGAGAGGATCAAGACCTCAGATATTTCACCCTTAATTTATAGTATCTGAGTGTGTCTGTGCGGAGATGTGTAATATCTGTACCAAATTCGAGACCCTAAGCATCCCAAACGTGCATGTTATCTCTCTGGAAGTCTTAACGTGGCTTGTTTAAACAGCTCCATATGGACAGGGCTCAGTCCCACATTCCTTGTCCGGTGGGGCTGCCAGTGCACCTTTCAGGAGGTGGGATGGGGGGTAGACCACAAGATATACAAAAAATTGGATTTTTTTAAGTTACCCGAGCCAAATTCTCCATTTGCAAAATTCAGTGCAGCGCCATAGAGCTAAAAGAATTAAAAAAAAAAAAAAAAAAAATTAAAACACTTTCGAATTTAAAAAAAATAATGAGAGAAGTGGCTGAAATGCCGATGAACAACGGGGAACAAAAGAACTTTTTTAATAATTTTTTTCCCACTGGATTCGGCTGCAAATGGTGTCAAAATGCAGGACGAGGGCTTTTATCGGTGTTTTTAGCAGCGAGGCGCAGCCCCGGAGCCCCCGCGCCGCCGGTGCCGGGAGCCGGCTCGGTCCCCCCGCTCCGGGCTGGGCTCTGCCGCAGCACCCACAGCAAAAATACACAAAATAATGAACATGAGAACAATGGAATCGCTTAAATGCCGTGGTGCCTCGTGTCTCGGTTCTTAGCCATGCCACGCGTGGCCGTGCTGAGGGCAGGGCAGCCCACGAGCCTCAATCTGCTGCTAATCCCCATGCAAAGGACAAAATGCAAATTATTGCTTCATGCAGATTTAATTTTACCCAAGCTATTTAAATAGAGAGTCGCAATAATAAACCTCCTCTTGACCCAATTAAAAAAAAAAAAAACAAACGATGGTTAATGGAGATTTGTGTGCACTTGCATTTAGCATTGGGGGGGTGTGGAAAGAGGGAAAGCGGCTAATTGCAGGCACTAATCAGGACTCTAATCCCCCTCCCAGCAGGCACAGAGATGCCCCTGAATGCCGTTAGTTGAAATCACTTAAATGTAGGTCTGTCTGACCTCAAGGGGCACAAACGAAAAGAAATGGAAGCCTGATTTTTTTAAATTTCAAACAACAACAACAACAAAAAAAAGAGTGACTTTAATCACAAGTTCACTCAATGGAGAGGAAATGTAAAGCTCAGCGGAAGCGTTAATTCCATGGCAATGGTGTAAAATAGCTTTTTTGTATAAACAAGGCAAATATTGATAACTTAGTTGAGGGGGGAGAGGGGGAGTGATTTGTTTCGTTCTTTGTAGAGCTCCACAGAACGAGCCAACTATAAATTATCGAGAATTTAAGGCTGAGAATTACTTTAGGGGATTATTACTCCCTCTTAGGACTGATCTGTAGGAGATATTAGGAGAACACAGCAAGCTCAGCATTGAAATAGAAATCATGTTGTTGCCAAGAAAGTTTGATTTATAAAGTGGAAACATCTTTAAAATGCACTTGCTATCTTTTTAATGTCTGACTGCTTCATTGTGGGAGGGGGAAAAAAAGAGATTATTTTATATTAAAAGGATCATCAAAAGATAAAAAGTTGATGTTAGCAAAGTTCCCTGAACTCTGGAGAAAAGCGCTCGGATCCCTCAGAGCGCCCGTGGATGGGCGCCGGCTCCATCACTCAGAGCCTTCCTCTCCTTCCTCCTCTTTGAGGTTTGCTGCAATTACGGATTTCTCCTCCGGAGGATTATCTGGTGATGGTTTTAAAAGGCTGAATGTCTGCGGTGCAGAGACTGCCCCATCCCCGGCGCTGCCCGGAGCGCTGGGTACCCACGGCTGCCCGAACTGGAGGGGAACGAGAGGAAAAGCGCCCACGGGTGATCCCTTCAGGCAGTGCCCATCTCGAGGGGCGTGTTGCAGGACAGGTTTTTCGGGTGGCAGAGGGAATCCCGTTGTTTGAGCAGCCTCTCTTCGCCGAGCCCCGGCGGGGCGGCCGCTCCCGCTCCCCGCTCCAGCATCCCGCTTCCCATCCCTGCTCCCAGCGCTGCTTTCCAGGGATGGGGGAACGAATCCAGCGCCCACAGCGAGCTCGGAGTGCCTGGTTTTGGAAATAATTGTTCACAAGTCCTCCCGTGTGTGTGTGTGTGTGTGTGTGTGTGTGTGTGTGTGTGTGTATGTGTGTTAAACAAAAACCCCTCCAAAACCAAACCAACCAACCAAAAAAATCCCTCACCTCCAAAAAAACACTTAACCAAAAATCACCCTAAAAACCTCCAGCACCGAAAAGTTCCAGTCGATGAGATTCTGTTAAATCAAATGAATCAAATCAATCTAGATGCTAAGAAAGGGGCACAGGCTGTGTGAGAGGATGCAGATGCAGCTGCACATCTGGATTCCTCCCCTCTGGCCGCCCTGCTGTGGGGACATCGTTCTGTCGTGGCAGGGTGCACACCTTTCCCCCGGGATTTTAGGAATTCCACACTTTTGTGAAATTGTTCAAGGGGTGGGGAAAGCAGAAAGCAAATAAGGGACATCATTATAAATCTGGCTTTCTGATTTCATCCTCTCTCTTTTGTGTGCTATTATTTAACTGAACAATTGCAGATTTATTTTTTTTTTTTGTAGCTCGTGGCAAACAATTCTTTGTGAAATCTCATCTTTTGGACTTTATTTCTGCTGGAAGTTAATCTTTGCTTCACAGCCTTCCTGGCTCAGGATTTCTTCTTTCTGTTAGATTATTTATTTTGCTGTTCTCTAGTTTTTTTTCCAAGGTGCCAGTCTTTGCAATTTCTATCAAGGTATTGCCAAGGACAAACAATTTGATAAAGCTTTTGTTTCATCAGTAAAAAATGCCAGTTCACAGGATGTCTGGCCACATTTTTGTGAGCAGTTCCTGAAGAGAAAATAATGTGTCATTTCTCTGTGGTAGCAGAACCGTCCCTGAGACGTAACAGGAGGTTTGAGATCCTGAATTTGAGTTTTGGCTGGAGTGCAGGATGTACACAGGTACAAAGCCAGCTTTGGTCTCTATGGTAGCAGGTTTTAAGAAGCATATGTAGGAAAATGCTGCAGAGGAAAAAAATAGAATCAATAAAACATCTTGCATGTGCGGAAAAGATGCAAATCCACTTTAGATGTTCAAGTTTCATTTTAAAAGTGGCTTATTTAAGTTTTAAAAAAAAAATCTGTTCCTAATCAACTTTAGTAAACCAAAATAAAACTAGTTTTTAGGACATCAAGGTCTGAAGAAGTATAAATGCTTTGGCTAAGCTGGTGCAGCTTTCCTGTGTGAATAATCCTTTAAAAGTTAAATTTTCCATGGCTCTGTAGGGCATATGGATGCCCAGTTCTCATTACAATTAAAGGGAAATATTTGTCCAGAATCTTTTGAGGCAGTTACAAGAATTTCTGTTGATGGTTTTTGATCCAAAAGCAAACCTTAATATCCGACATCAACGAAGGAATGTGAGCCGTCAATTTAAAACATAGAAATAAAATAGATATTTGAGGAATGTTTCATCTGCTTGCTCCTAAATTTGGGGTCCTGGAATTATCCTGTTCAGGCAAACTCCTGCTTTTATAGAAAGAGCAGGAGTGAACTCCAACGGCTCTTGGCTCTGCTGCTAAAGTTGTCGACAGCTTTGGCAAGGGAGACAGAGCTTGTGCACACCGAGGAGG